CACACAACAGTGGTGGGTTCTAGGCGGTAAGCCCCGGTACGGGCGTACTGGATCCTGCCCGGAGCATCAGTTCCGGTGCTCCGGAGGGCCCACATGCCCGCCCGAGCTCCTTACCTGTGCTTTTAAGCTTTTGGCGCTTCCACGCACGGGCATGGCGCATGTGGCACCTGTGCAATGCTCTGCTGAGCAGCTAGAGCATCGCAGAGGCTTGCGGAAGCGTTGCAGGCAAGTATGATGCATGCCCGTTCCGCGAATGTGGGTGATGCCGGGGCTGTTCCAACCGTACCGGTTGGAACGCAATCCGGAACCCACCACTAACACACTTGCACGAATAATTCTCAACAGCCTTCCCATACAAATGTCTAGGAATTTTCCTTGGTGTCTAACTTGCTTACTTTATGCCACACAATAGTAATTGTGAGTAAGAGCCTAGATGGCACAGTGGTTAGGATGCAGTACTGCAGGCCACTTCAGCTGACTGTTATCTGCAGTTCAGCGGTTCTAATCTCACCGACTCAAGGTTGACTCAGCCTTCCATCCTTCCAAGGTGAGTGAAATGAGGACCCAGACTGTGGAGGTGATATGCTGACTCTGTAAACTGCTTAGAGAGGGCTGAAAGCCCTATGAAGCGGTATATAAGTCGAACTGCTATTGCTATTGCTATTGCTAAATAAGCACCACAACTGTCTCCCTTTGTGGGAGAACCTAATTTTCAGTCTGATTTAGCATCAGTTTCCCCCATTGTACAAAAGACAGATACACACCTGGAAAGTATGAGGATCTGTTGGTGAGCTTCAGGAATTTGTCTCTGGGCTCAAAACTTCCCTTGGGGCATGGAGCTGTGGTCAGTCCAGGACTATGAAAATAACCTGCAAGATGAGATTCATCTTTTTTTTGCCAGTTTCTTTTTAAAAATAATAATTTTACCAGCTTTTTTAATTATTAAAAAACAATTTCCACTCATTACAGTGAGTCCCTATCAGTATGATTGATATCATTTGTATTTACATAAGCTCTATTCCTATATTCTTTAATACATTCTATATTGTATAATCTCTTAAAATGTATTAATATTTACAGATTTATACAGAGTTATCATATTTGTCATAAATAATACTTAGTTCTTATATAGTATCTCACATCTAACATCCAACCATTTATACCACCTGTTCCACACTTTATAGTACTCCGATTCTTCTCTATCCTTCAGTTCCATGGTCAATCTATCCATCTCTGCACACTCAAGTATTTCAATCTTTGCCATTCACATTTCATTCTCTCCCTCCTTTTGCATCATTTCTTTAATGATTCTATTCCGCCATTTCTTTCATATTAGTGTAACTCTTGTCCTGCATTGAGTTGCCCTGTGGTGAGATGGCCGTGGCAAGTTATCCTGCAGCAAGTTGACCATGGTAAGTTGGCCTTGATGAGTTGGCCAAGGTGAGTTGGCCATGATGAGTTGGCCATGGTGAGTTGGCTGTGGTGAGTTGGCCATGGCAAGTTGGCCATGGTGAGTTGGCCATGATGAGTTGGCCATGGTGAGTTGGCCGTGATGAGTTGGCCATGGTGAATTGGCCGTGATGAGTTGGCCATGGTGAGTTGGCCATGGTGAGTTGGCCGTAATGAGTTGGCCATGGCGAGTTGGCGGTGGTGAGTTGGTTGTGGTGAGTTGGTTGTGGTGAGTTGGCCATGGTGAGTTGGCCATGATGAGTTGGCCATGGCGAGTTGGCTGTGGTGAGTTGGCCATGGCAAGTTGGCCATGGCGATTTGGCCATGGTGATTTGGCCATGATAAGTTGGCCATGGTGAGTTGGCCATGGTGAGTTGGCCATGGTGAGTTGGCCGTGATGAGTTGGCCGTGATGAGTTGGCCATGGTGAGTTGGCCGTGATGAGTTGGCCATGGTGAGTTGGCCATGATGAGTTGGCCATGGCAAGTTTGCCATGACAAATGGACATAGACCCCCTGTGGTCAGTAGGCCACTGTACAACGAGTACTATTACTGCATTAACCCAACTTTCACTTGGATAATAAATGAATCAATTTCACAATGGGCCTGCGCAGGACACTGTAACACAAATAATCCCAATCTATTAGGGTCACACATGATATTAAGAGAGGAAAAGAGTAACTGACAACATTTTTCATGTGTCACAAAAACAATTGCAATGCTTTTAAGTGATTTGGTTGTGAAATAGCTAATCAGTCGGGGTCACGTGGACATAGAAGTAGGGGACAACAGCCATAGTAAGTAGTGTCTATTTTGGGTTAAGATGCAGGGAATAAGTAGGAAGAAAAGCCCAAGTATGTCTGATGCAAGTGCTGGATCTGAATCTGAACCTTGAAATAAATTGATACCTTAATTTCTGGATGTATACAAATATGAAGACCAAAAGAGTAAGCCATTTGTATTAAAAGTTCGATAGAATAGTTGGTCATAGTAATAGTGTCAGATGGACTTGGAGTTGTAATGGCTTCCACGGTTTGTTCAACACCGCCTAGATCAGTGACAGCTAACTTTTTCAGCACCGAGTGCCGAAAAAGGTTGTGTGGAAACATTGTACAGGTGGGCGTGCTCGTCAGGACCGCACTCTGAAAAAGCCAAACTTGTGGGTTGTATACCACACAGGCTGGTTTTTGGCACTGCGAAGGGATCACTCTCTGGAAAAGCCAAACTTCCGAATCCTGGCATGCATGCACACCCGACAATCAGCTGGCTGGTGTGCATGTGCACGGCAGTTTTCGGCACTGCCATGCGCATGAAGGACAGTTGATCATCACTCTTGCATGCGCACCAGAAACCCGGAAGATAAACAGGCACGGCCGTGCTTGCCCGGCTTTGGGGCATGCGTGCTTTAGGTTCTTCCTCAAATGAACCTAACAAACGTCAATTGTTTTGACAAACTGCTTCCAAAATTAAATTAATTCGGCCTGAATTTCACTTCCTCTGTGACGTCAAAGGAGATTTTGAATCCCCAAACAATGAGCAGGTAAAACAAATCAGCCAAAGGCAAAGAAATACAAAGGTTCAACCTGAAGGGCAGAGCTGGCTTTGTAGATCCCCAACAGAACGAAGAGATTTCCAAGCAAACAACATCTCAGCCATGTTGTCTGGACAGCAAGATGTTTTGTTATCGCTCCGGCACTCGATTTGTCTGGGCGCATCAGCCCAAGAGCCAGGGGGACAAGGGATTGGCTGAGCGGTCCCAAAATTAGGACAATAATGCCCTGAAAAAGCAAACACACAAGTTGAGGAGATCGGGATGTGCATTACTATGGTAACAGCGTGACGGTAATGCAGTTGGCACAATCAATAAAGACAAAGACATTATTAATATTGATAAGCATTGATTAGTGCTGATAGGAACTCACTCGGGAAAGCAACTTAAGAAAGGGTAAAGCAGAGGAAGTAAGGGAGGGGAAGTAAGAGTAGCAGAGAGGGTAAGAAGAAGGAGAGAGGAGGAGTGGGGGAGAGGGAAGGGAAGAAGAGAAGAAGGAGAGGAGGAAAGGAGAAGGCAGAGAAGGGAGGATTAGGAGATGAAAGGAGTAGGGTACTCATCTCCGTTTCAAAGCCAAAGAGCCAGCACTGTCTGAAGACATCTCAAGTGGCCAGCATGAATCAATACCAAAGGGGCACAGAATGCTGTTACTTTCCCAACAAAGGTGGTTCCTATTTTTCTACTTGCATTTTTTATGTGCTTTCGAATTGCTAGGTTGGCAGAAGCTGGGACAAGTCATGGGAGCTCACCCCATTATGCAGCTTCGAACTGCTGAACTGCTGACCTTTCTGATCGACAAGCTCAGGGTCTTTGCCACTGAGCCATGTTATAAATCAGTACTGAATGTAGTCCAAAAACCTTTCGAGATCCAATCTGGGTGGGTCACCAGGACCAGAGGTTTACTCTTCTGAGCTTTAGGATTTGTTCCCATCCTCAGGGAATTTCTCTCCACCGGAATATTTGGGTTATTCTTACCCTCTCTGCTACTCTTACTTCCCC